TAATAATGAATTCTCTTTTAAGAAGTGTTTCTTTAAATGGACCACCCAGTGGTTACATTTGTGTGGAAAGCAAATCCTCCATTGCCCAGTTGGCGCTGAGCCAAGTGTGAGACAGGGGCCACATTCAGTCACTTGGATGCAAAGATCTCGAGCAGCCTGGGTTGTTTCCAGGCATTATTTTTGGCTGATTTTATTGTCTTACAAGTGATTGTGCCTCCTCAGGGCTACTTGTCCTGTCTTTCTTTTGAGCACCAAGTACATAGTGGTCTTTTTGTTTTGTTTTTCCCTCTGTCTTAAGTAGTTTGGTCATATTTCTTTTAAAGAACCTTTATTGGGTAATTTGAGATTTGGGCCTGCTATTGGATATTATTTGCTTGACATTGCCGTTGTTATTTGGAAATGGTTACTCAGGAGTATAGTGATCACCATGTTTCTGTATTTGCGGCTGCCCCGCCTACGAGTGTTTAGATAATGTTTGGAGTCAATGAAGTGCTGTTCTGGGGATCAGAGCCATGATGGTGGGTGCTGGTAGGGGGTGAAGGTAGGGAGGTGTGGTGGTTGTGGGGGCGGGGTGAGTTTATTTGTAGAAAACATAAAACCACATTGCAACCAGAAAGATGTGTCCAAAAAGGATCTTAGAAATAACTGTTGAATGTAAAGGAATGGTGTGGGCATTTTAGGTGTATTTCAAGGCTATTGTAGGAAAAGTGGTTTATTCCTTAGCTTTTTTATTGTTGTTGACAAAGTTTCTCTGAGAGTAGAGCCTCTCAAAACCTAGAGAACTAATAGATTTACAGTTGGTTGCTTAAAGATCTCTTTTCATGTCTTTGAGGAAAAGTTTAACAAATGGATTTTTTCTAGCACTTGAGAATGTACAATATGCCATATAAGGTTTCACATGTGGATGCTTAATAAATTTTTGTTGAATGTTGAATGAATATACTATCCTGAAATTGCTGTTCATACAGCTGATGCTTTATCCTGGCAAGGAACTGGAGTGCTCTTGTGTCCGTGTACCCATACTACATAAGATTTGATGGAGGACTTTGAAGGGAGAGATTTTTGGTAAAATGTTTGTGGCTATCTAAGCTTGTACAGAATTGGGGTGATTTCTTTTCTCCTTTTCTTTTTTTCTTTTTCTTTCTAACATATCTTGTTTGGAAACATCACTTATTGCGAAGGGGAATGATGTGTTGAACGCAAAAGTATACCTTCATTATAAGTCATATATTAATCTAGTTACAAATTGGATATTAAAATGTTTTTCCATAATTCCTGAAGTAGTTGTTTCATATTACGATTTAACAATCTGTTAGTTGAAAGTGAATATAAGACCAAGCACTCTTGCAGATAGTTCTATAAACTATTTCTAAAAGAATCTGCCTTTTTATTAAACAGATCACTCAGATGGTACACTCAGTATGGCCTAGTCTTGGTAGATCACTGCTGAGTGAGGAATTTGCATTTGTGTCTCCTCACTTTTTTTTTCTTTTCTGGAGAGAGAGAGAGAGACAGCGCGCACGAGGGGGGGAAGAGGAAGAGAGAGAATCCCAAGCAGGCTCCATGCCCAATGCGGAGCTCACGTGGGGTTTGATCTCACGACCCTGAGATCACAACCTGAGCTGAAATCGAGAGTTGGACACTCATTCGACCGAGCCATCCAGACACCTCTGTACCTGATCAATTTTTAACACATGTATAATTTTTAAAAAAATGCTTAGGGGCGCTGAGTGGCTCATTTGGTTAAGTGTCCGACTCGATCTCATCTCAGGCCTTGATCTCAGGGTCATGAGTTTGAGCCCCACATTGGGCTCCATGCTAGGCATGGAAAATACCTTTAAAAAAATGCTTTTGTAGAATTCATGTGCCCATATTCCCCTTCCCACAACCCATTAAAAAGTATGTGACACTTGTGAAATGGAAGCTGCCATCCAAGGTGAGACTGTTTTTATGAGAAGATTTTTGTGTCCTCAAGCCAAATTTGGGACTTGGAATTAGGAGTCTTTAAAAAAAAAAAAAAAAGGTATTCGTAACTCTATCCTATCACCTCTCTTTGTGTTTTAGTGTTTGTATGTGCTTCGTAAATATAAGGATTTGAGAATAAGGTGTGAACATGTTTTCCTGAGTTGGTGCCTAAAGCTCTTGAGATAAGAGAAACCAGAGGCTTTTTGTCTGTGCTGGAGGCAGGAGGAGACAGGCAAATAGCACGACCCAGGCTTAACAGTTAAAGGTGCTTTCAGTGCTGAGGAAAGCTGAAGTCTTTGTGTTTTCAGTGTTCCACCTAATTTTACTGTGTGTAAGATATTGTTCGTTTATAAGAAGACTGACAAATCATTTTAATCTCTTTGGAGTCCCTAACTTATCTGGTGGCAAGTAACCCTTAAAGATAGGCTCAAAAGAAAAGACACGTTTTCATGGAAGGATTTCATCTTCAGGACAGGGTAGTACTGTTGAGCAGCAGGTGCTAAATTTGTACAGAAGTAGCATCTCCAGAATTCCCTGATTCCCCTGAATGCTGCTGTGCACTCTATAAATAGCAGTAGTGAAAAGCTTTATTTCTTGTCCAAGTTATGTGGGTAAATAATATATTTTACCCCATTTATAACTATGTTAGCTGCCTGGCTTCTCTTTGGGAGAGGAGCGTCTATTCGGGTCAAATATTAGCCTCAATTTTTTAGAGCCTTTTGAGATAAAAAGGGGATTTTCTTTTCTTAAGAATATAAGCTACTTATTAGTGAGATTTTATTTTGTGGGTTAGTATATGTGTACTCGAAACAACATCCTTGGCTCCTCTGTGCATTAGATACCAGTAACTTCTCCCATCCTCCAGTGGGTGACAGCCAAATAATGTATCCAGACCACTCTGAAGAACTGATTTGTCCCCTCTTTAGAACCACTGCATTAGATTCTCTTTTCAGGCTTAGAGACACATAGGAGCATCCATGGGCTAATGCGTGCTGTTTGGTATTGGTCATGGTGGACATTAGAAATTTGTAGATGAGTACAGCTGTATTCAGGTTTTAGGAAATTTTTATTTGCAGTTTTGAACTACTTGTTTCAACCAGTTACAGGGACACAGCTCCAGGTGAACTCAAGGTAACATTTCTGGGGCAGTCTTAATTAAAGGCCATTTGTTCCCTCTTTCAGCTTGTAGAAAATCTGTATTTAAGTCTGTGACTGGACCTGCTGGCTGTGGGCCTGCTCTGCGCAGCACTGGCAGGAATAGATCTCTGGGCCCCACCCTTTCTAAATTTAGTTCATTCATTCAGGCTCATACTCTCAGAGCAACCCAGGGCAGGATTGGGTTGCTGCTTCTAGAATGCAGGTAGGTTCTGGAGTCCAGACACTTGGTTTTTGGCATATTTTTTGACCTGTGACTAGTGGTTGGTGGTGTGAAGTTTTGAGTACACTATAGGTGATTTTTTTTTTTGGTAGAAAAATGCCCTCAAGACAGAGTTTAGAAAGAGAGGGGAGAAGGGAGTGCAGGGGGGTTGAGAGGCATTGAGAAAGAAATATTTCTATTTTGGCAGCTGAAGGAAATCAAAACAATGAAACAAGGTCCTAGCTGATTTCAGGATGGTTCTGGAGTTGTTTCTTGATGTTGGCAACTTGTCTACCAGGACAGTTACCTAGTCTTAGTGGATCTCCTCTGTTCCTTTGTTCTGACTCCAAAAGTAAACAAGGAACAACTGCAGTATGGGGGATTTTGGTGAATACGGGGATGTTTCTATATCCAAAGTCATGTTTGAGCTGAGGTGTTTGGGTTGTTGTTTTCAGTTTTGCAGTTCTTTTTGCTCTCAGCAAGAGAGAATGTGCCAGAACTCCTTCAAGTAACTCAATTGCTCTGGTCATTCATCTCTTTCTAAAGGTCCAGCTTTAATTAAGAATTACTCCAAGACTTTTTAAAAAATTAAGTAACAATTACTCTGTCATAGAACTTCTGATTTGTTTGCTGGTTTCTGTTTTGGTTGGCTTTTTCTACTCTTTGTTGCTATTGGTTATTTTGGGAGTACTTTTGACTTGCTTAAACATTTTCGGCTTTTTGAAGGATGACCCTGAACATAAGCAGAACTGTCCTTATTTTTGACTTATGAAGAAAATTTAAATGTATTTAGAAGTAATGTCTTTGGAACTTAGAAGATGAGGTAAATAGTCTCCTCTGCTCCCCGGGTTCCACTCCCCAGCCACACCAGTGAAATTACCAGTCTGAAATCTGTTCCTCTCTTCTTCATCTTCTCCACTTTTGCTTTTAATCGTACAAACACTATAGAATGTTCTTTACTATTCAAATAATTTCTTAGGATCCTGTATATTGATGTAGATGCAAGTTTTGTTTGGGGTCTGTAACTAAATGAGACCATCTCAACAAACCTCATAGGAAAAAGATCTTTTATCATCATCAGGAAAAGAAACAGTGAAAGTGAGAAATTCCTGTGTTTCTTCAGTCAGCCTGCAGGAAAACTGTAAGGGTGCCAGTCTGAGCACATGGCCCTTCGGTGGAAGCAGTGTTGATATTCACCCATTAATGGTCTTAGGAACCCAGTGTGCTTTCAGCTTCTGATAATTTTGAGCCCAGAAATCTTTACTGTATCCATATAGTATGGAAGGCCTCTCCCTATTTTTTTAATTGGCCATTTTGAATACAGGCTGTAGTTTGTGATTCTTAATGTTCAACAAGGAATATCATTAAGCCCTACTGATACTCTTTATAAAATAAACATGCAGAGCAGACGGGCGTTGCAAGTCATTTAAAAGCAGTGTCAGAAAGTTATAAGGCCCGGAACCTCACTGCGTACCGAGGGGAAACCCACTTCTAATATATTGGCGGAGCTACAGGCTCAGTGGGACTATTTTCATTCTTGAGTAGGTGACACCGATTTTGACTGAATATTGGCAATTACATATCTCCTCTATAATTTACCTTTTTATTTTCTTTCCCTTACAACTTTTAGGTAGAACTTTAGACTTCATAGCACTGAATTAACCTGCACTGAAAGCTGTTTACCTGCAGTTGTTCACTTTTGTTGAAAGTGACCATGTCTCAAGTTCAAGTGCAAGTTCAGAACCCATCTGCTGCTCTCTCAGGGAGCCAAATACTGAACAAGAACCAGTCTCTTCTCTCCCAGCCTTTGATGAGTATTCCTTCTACTACTAGCTCTCTGCCCTCTGAAAATGCAGGTAGACCTATTCAAAACTCTGCTTTACCCTCTGCATCTCTTACACCCACCAGTGCAGCTGCAGGTAAGCGTATGAATCCAAGTGTCTTCTTTTTTCAAATGTTTTCTTAGCCTGTTTTTTGATCTGATAAGTAGATTGCAGATGTAGGGAGCTCTCACATTACCTTCAAGAAGCAGAAGAAAGTATTAACACCCATGCTTCTTTATTCCAGATGTAAAACACTCGGTTGTATACTGGGTTGTCGGAGGCCTGAGTTGACAGACCATTTCAAAGTGTAAGAAAGGGAATTGAAAACTAAACTATAAAACCTAGCTTATTATAAAGTGGCGGCCAGCAGAAAGGATTGAACAGTAAATACCACTTTGGATTTGTATTGTTGTATGGGAAAATTCTGCTTTTAAAATTATTTCCCAGAACTGACAAAGAATTCTTGTATGTGTAAGCCCTTGTTTTAGATGTCTGTAAGATTATATCCCAAGCAAGAGAGCAGCCAGGTTTACTGGAAGGCAGGAGAGGGCGTTGGCATTTGTTAATTTTTATTTTGAACAAGTCAGTTTAAGTTGAGATTCCAGAGGTAGTTCAGAAATCACAGTGAGGACCAATTAGAAATTGAACAAAGAAGCAGAGATTTTTGAAGAGGAATAGGTTCAGAAGCATTTAAATCTGATTGCTAGGAAAATAAAGATGAACTAAATGTGCTCGTTGATGGGACGTATGGCTGGCTCAGTCTGAAGAACATGCGACCCTTGATCTCCGGGTTGTAAGTTCGAGCCCCACATTGGGTGTAGAGATTACTTAAAAAAAAAAAAGTTCTAAATAAATGTGCTCATTGATGAGAAAAGACTTGAAACAGCTGAAAAATAAACAATCCTGAAAATAATATTCTGCTTCCCAACCCTTCCCCATAGTGGCAAAACCAATTAGATGGGGTGCCAACATGGGTGTCTCCATAGCAGAGTCACCTTCTAACAAATTCTTTCAACCCCTTGTACTTGACAATTTCCCTTGCGTTTCCTCCTTCATTTCTCATTTCCTTTACTTTATAAATCTGTTCTTAGAGTGTTGGCTCATCCCCTTCTCAGCTGCGTGGCATCTGTCACCCTACCTCTAGGCTTCCTTGGACTGGCTCACTGGAGAGCTATCTTGACTTGTCATAATACCCAACAAATTCAGTTTTCCCCAAATTTGCCATTGGAGACCATCTTCAAAGGAAATGTCATAGATTGTTACAGTCCTCTGGGATTTACTGCTTTTTCTTCTAATGCGTTCTTATATCCACATCCTACTGACTTTGTAAAACTCCTGCCCACCAAGGCCGTTTTATTTTACTTGTATAATTCTCAGAAGTAGATAAGGTCTGAGGATGGCAGCCTCTGGAGATAAGACTAGGGGATGCCCCAGGAACGAGAAGTCAGCCGTGTGGAACACGACAGTCGTTTGAAAAATGGCATCGGCACGTTGAGTTTTGTGCAATAACCGACAGGGTCCAGCTGACGGCTGTTGGGGTAACCAGTGTGTCTGTGCTCACAAGACCTCCGTGTTATTCCCGTGGTTGGCTATAATAACAGTGCTTCATCTGATTTCAAATCTTGCTTGCTGCCATGGTTTGGTTATACCCCTGACCTCGGTTCTCTCTCTTTGGAAGACACGCTCTCCTAGGTTCCCCGGCTTCGGCCGGCTCAGAGCAGACCCCAGCTGTGCCTTCAGGCGGGCGCCCCCGCGTGGTTTGCAGTTGTGCGGCACCGCTGCTCTGACTCCTTAGACCTTCCGTTTTCCCTCTTTTTTCATATCCCAGGGAAAGCAGCAGTCCTGTATACTGCTAGTTGACTTCATTGCTCTGACGTTATTTTTCAGTTCCTTCTAGCATGGCACACCCCAAAGAGAAAACCCCAATGTGTCTTGTGAATGAGTTAGCCCGTTTCAACAAGATTCAGCCTGAGTATAAGCTTTTGCGTGAGCAAGGTCCAGCTCACTGTAAGGTAAATATTGTCCATACTGCTTGTGCATTTCTAACCCACCAGGAATGTTTTCTGTCTTTTTATGCTCCTCCAAGTGGTGCTGTGGTTCAGAATACGTACTTCCCAACCACTGAGGCTGTCTTCAAGAGATGCAAAAGTATAGATTTTTGGCAAGTCACTTCTCTTCATCCTTGCAGAATGGGTCAAAGAAAAGACGTGCTTCTTTTGGGGATATATGGCTTTTAAAATTCCAATTAGTGTGTGGTTGTGTTTAGGACTCTGAATAGAGACAGTTCCCAAGCACCTGTGAATGATTTCCTGCGAGTTTTCCAGGCTTTGGGCCTCCTGGCTACAGCCTGCCTCGGGCTCCTTTCCTGCTTGTTGGCACGAACCCTAGACTGGGCAGGGAGGGGAGGGGAACAGGAAATCCATTTTGCCACTTGTTAGCAATCCAGGTAAAAGGTTTGAAGGTGAGGGGTAGAGTGAGTCCTTTGGATTGTCTCTGATTTCACTTATCCTTGTCTTTCCCCATATCTTAGAGAATGGAAGACTGACTGTAATTTAAATTTTTACTATTTGTTACTCGGGAATTCAGTCTTTGAAGCTCGTTTGATATCTGTGCTAATGTAAATCTTGGAACTTAAATGTGTGCATATCTGGCTTTATCTTTGCAGCTGCAGTGTGAGAGAGGGTATGGTGTCAGAGAGAAGGAATTGGGTCTCCTATTTCTGATCCTAGCTTTGCAGTAAAGATAATATAATTAAGGATGAGTTATTGGTCTCTTTATGCGTCACTTTTCTTGACATGCAGACCTCAAGCCTTGAGTGATATACCTACCAAGTTTCCCTTTTCATTTGACTAAAAACAACATCGGCCACAGTCCTAAATAGGCACCATAGTGTGGTTAGGCGAGTCGCCTTTGGTGTGAGACAGATGTGGGTTTAAATCTCAGCTTCTTCTAGCTGTGTGACCTTGGGCAAGCTACTGCTGTTTTTGAACCTCAGTCTCCTCCTCTGTAAAATGGGGATAATACCTACCCAAATAGGCCTACTGTGAGAATTAAATGAGAAGACTGTATGTTAAAGTGAGGAGCACAATGCCTGGCGATTATTAAGTATTTCAGAAATGGTAGCTATTATTATTATGCATTTAAGAAACAGAAATTTCTACTCATGTGAAGCTAGTTTTATTCTAAAGCATGATCGTATTTGAAATGTTTCTTTACTTTTGGAAGGCAATTAGTGATTTTCTATAACTGTTCTGTTTCTTCTACGGGATTTTTTTTGCAGACCTTAACTTTGGGATTCCCTTTATTAACTGTTTTTGGTATTTTTTTGAAACACGTACTTTTTCACTTAAACTTCAGTGGCGTTATAGGTAATTTGGCTGTCTGTTCAATCTGTAACTGCCCCCCTTTTTTTTTTTAAACCTTCAGGTTATTCAAAGAGGAAAAGTTATTCCCTCCTAGGTGACTGTTAGACTCTTTAAAAAGTCATTGGTGTGGTATCCTTTGAATTCTGTTAAAACCTAGATTCTCACCTCGCTACCAGCCTTCCACGTGGGAGGCGGCAGAGCCACAACAGCGGGGGTGGGGACAGTGCTGGAGAAAGGCAAGACTGTTGATAAAATTAACGCTTTGCTTTTTAGCTTTTCCCCGTCAGTGTGTTTCCGTGAAAGGATCATGAAATGCCCCGGAGATTGGGGCTTGCACAGCACTGTAGGCTCCTGCTGTTTGGCTGCTCAGGCCGGCCACCGTTTTGAGTTTGCGCTGTCGGTGCTAAAGGAGTACCCTTGTGAACTGCAGCATTAATTCAGGGGAGCCCCTAATGGTTCCAGTGGGGTGAGAATTTTCTAATTTTTCCCCTTTAATGGAAGCTGTATACTGAGGGAATCCTGAAGTTAAGACCTACAAGAAAAATCATCTGTGAAGGCAAGGCACACCCATCCCTCTAGGCACCAAATTTCAGTGGTCTGGACATTTTCAGATGATGTAGATACATTCACATCAGCATTTCCCATGTAAATTATTTGTAGATGAAACAGAGTGATAGCCTGTGGTAAAGAAAAGCCGAAAAATAAAAGCTCCGGTTGATTTTGCTAAATTCCAAGGTAGTGAGTCTCAAACTTCATAGTGCGTCAGAATCACTAGGGGAGCTTATTAAAGATACACTTGCTCCGGTCCTCCCCTCTTGCTCCTCAGTCAAAATCCATGGGCATGTGTATTTTACCAAGTTTCCTGGATGAGCACCAAAGTTAGAGAATCACTGGCATGATGGGTCATATTTTTTGACAGAGTATTAATTCAGTTCTGATAGGATTAACATAACCTAATTTTAAGAATGGAGTGTGTATTTGGGTTACCTTCATACTTAAGAAGGAATAAAGAGGCTTGCCATTGTCAGCATTTGCTGAGGACAAAATTAGCTGTTTTGGATGCCTCCTTGAGTTCAGAAACGTTTCTTGATCTTTGCTTACTGTGGATCAGATTTTCTTCTGAAGGTGGAGGGAGTGTCTGAATAATAGAGTAATCTTAATTAGCAAAGTAGAAGGCAGCGTTTTAGAGCCTGGCTGATGTTCCCAAATTCATTCAAGTGTTTGTCCTCCTGGGATTGTGTTTTCAGACAAGAGACCACAAATGCATGAGAACATCAAAACGAACGTCTTAATTTATATGAGATACTACTGTGTAACTAAATCAAGTTTGCTGTATTTCTTCCATGAGAAGTAATTGGAAGACAGTTTCTATTTGGATGACTTCCAAATAACGTCTGATATCTAATATGTGTAGGAAAACATCTTTATCTCCATGCTTACCCCCATTTTTCAAAGCATAGTTTTTGTCACAATGCTGTTCAATGCTAGTCAATGATATATATATCTCTTTTGGTGTTTATAGAAACAACGAAAAATGGGGGTGAAGGGATAAATTGCCGAGATAATGATCAGGCCTTTTAAACCATGGCCGTAAAAAATGTTCAAGGTCCGAGTGACATACTGTAGTCAACATCAGGTACCGTGAATTGAGAGCTCACAATTTTCATTTGTAGGTGTTTACAGTACAGCTAACACTTGGAGATCAGCACTGGGAAGCTGAAGGAACTAGTATTAAAAAAGCCCAGCACACAGCTGCTGCCAAAGCTTTGGAAGGAACAAAATTTCCTAAACCCATAGTCCGCCCTTTTCGTAGCGAAGGAAGGAATCCAGGTATTATGCGTGGGCCAAGACAGGTTCCTTTCAAAAGTGTGTTTAGAGGTACCCATTCAGTATGTGTATGAATTCTTTCTTAACTAACTTGTTGATTTTGAAAGCACAGTTTCTACACTACCAGTGGCAAACGCTTACCTTTTCAGAATCCTTAACCGTACTCTAAATCTGAAGCATTGGTTCCCAATCTCTGGTCCCCGTGACTCCTGAGGATCTGCAAAGAAGGTCCTGAGAGGTGGGGAGTGTCACCAAACAATTTCCAAGGTTTCAGAAAAGCTTAGAGAAAATACCTTTTGTTCCTCAAGAAGGTGGTACAGATTGCCAAAAATGTAGGCCTTAGCTGGAATCACTTCAACCCAGTGTGGAAATACCAGTTATAACACATTGATCAGAAACCCTGATTGTCTCCTGATCATTAAACAGAATGAGAAAATAACTTAAATACTTATCGCTTAAATACTATTAGTAGACAATATCTCTTCAAACAAGGGACCCATGGAGAAGGGAGAAGACTAATAGAGAAGAGCATCTGGTAAAAGCTTGGGGACCACTGACCTGCCACGGTGGGTGGGAGTGGCTCCGTTGTAGCCACGTTACCTGTCAGTGCACACAAAGCCATCCCAGGCCCTTTGTACACAGGAAGAAATCCGAGGGATCTTGGCCACACCTTTCTTGTTGCTCTTAATTTCTTTGTGGTGTTTCAGATTCATTCTCTACTGCAGGTAGATTTTCTGGGTCAGAACTGCTCTGAAGATGATTCAGTTTATATTAAAATGCAACTGTATGAATCATATAAAAAATAAAATTCTCATGTTAGGAAGAGAGAAGCTGGTTACTTCTGTGACCCTCTGATTTTGCAAACCCAAAGATATTCTTATAGATTTGATTCATGCACTAAATTTAGTTGAACCAGTTATAGTACAGAATCAAGTCATTTTTTATTTTCCTCTGCATACATAAAATGCCCAAAGAGGCATTTTTAAGTGGATTTTTGTGTGCCTTTAAGTTGAACTTTGCCATTGCTAGTGTTGTTCTGTGTTTGATGTGGAAGTGTTGTTTTCACATGATTGTGCACTGACACTACTCTTTCCAGCCTGATTTTCCTTTTACATTTTACATGTTTTTAATGGTTTATGAACTGGATGAACTGAGAAAAAAAAATTGGAAAATGAACAGTGTGTATCTTCTATAGTTGATAATTCTGAGATAACTTACTTTTGTTTATATGGAAACAACTCATTTTCCTAACAAGTATTCTCACAGGTCAAATCCCAATGTAAATATCGAGATTGGAAATATCTGAGTATTTTGCCGCCCTCATCTGACTTCTCCAGATACAATTTACTTCCCTCCTCCTCAGTGATTCCACACCTTTCCTTATAGCACACATCCTGTTGTATAGTAGTTCTTTGAGAGTGTTTGTGTTATTTGAATCCTCTGGGGCAAGAATTGTATCCCTTAACACAGTGCTTTGCATCCACTTAGTACTTAATAAGTGCATCATTCTATGAAATAGCGTGCATCAGCATACTTCTAAGTGTAAGCCAATAACCCAGCAAGTCAGTACAACCAGAGTTATATTGGCTAAGGATTCCCAAACAGTAAAATGATTTGCACAGTCACAGGGATTTTTTTAATCATGGAATTTGATGTGTATTGGAACTGATTTCTAATAACTGGAATGAGTGGCTTTCACTGATAACATCTTGTGCTAGTTGTTGCCCCTCTAATAGCTCTTATGGTATATTTTGTGCTGTTGACTGTGTATTAATATCTAGAAATCACAGCAGATTCTTGGATTTCCTGACCTGATGCCTAGCAATGAAGTACTTAGATCCTTTCATGAAATGCATTATGAATCCAATTTAGAAAGCATGCTATTCTTTCTTATTTTAGTGACCGTCATTCTCATGTCAGAAAACAACCAGTTCTCTGTGTTGATTATGTGTTGCAGAAAGCATAACCCCTACTGTAGAACTAAATGCACTGTGCATGAAACTTGGAAAAAAACCAATGTATAAGCCTGTCGACCCTTACTCTCGGATGCAGTCCACCTATAACTACAACATGAGAGGAGGTGCTTATCCCCCAAGGTATGTGTCTGTTTGTTTTAAATACAGGTGAAAATATATCTCATTTTTGACATGGAAGAATAAAATCTGTAGATTGTGGGGCACATAATGATTTGGTCATATTTAGGCTTGCCACATGTTGAAGTCAGTCTTAATTGTGCTGGTACTTTTGGAAGTTATGTCTTGATGCTTCTTTAACTCCTGTCGCTAGGGGCGCCTGGGTGGCTCAGATGGTTAAGCGTCTGCCTTCAGCTCAGGTCATGATTCCCAGGTCCTGGGATCGAGACCCATGTCCAGCTCCCAGCTCAGCAGGGAGTCTGCTTCTCCCTCTCCCTCTCCCCCTGCTTGTGCTCTCTCTGTCTCTGTCTGTCTGTCTCTCAAATGAATAAATAAAATCTTTAAAAACAAAACTCCTGTCACTAGCAAGGGCCTGAGCATATTCCTCACTAGCAGTGTGGCTATGCCCTGAGAAAATTTGGTTAAAGATCACCTTTTTAACTGCTTTGTTAATTTGAGCGTGATTCCCACAACACCGAGATTCTCAGCATCCATAGGTTTTCTTTTCTTTTTTTTTTTTTAAAGATTTTATTTATTTATTTGAGAGAGAGAAAGAGAGAGAGAGCACAAGCTGGGGGAGGGGCAGAGGGAGGAGAAGCAGACTCCCCGCTGAGCAGGGAGCCTGACGCAGGGCTCAATCCCAGGACCCTGAGACTATGACCTGAGCCGAAGGCAGACGCTTAGCTGGCTGAGCCACCCAGGCACCCCTAGATTTGCTAATTATTGCTTATTGGGTACTTTTTGACTTTGAATTTATGTGCTGTGTAATAGCCTTGGAGTACAGGTGCAGTAAAATACTAATTGAATTCCGAAAACATCCTGTATTAAAAATCCTCCTGTTGGCAGTCCTGAGACATTAGTGGATAGACTGATGATCGGAATGGAAGTTTTTCTTTCCCTGCTTGACTTGGATGGAGGCACAGCGATTTAAAAAATGCAGGCTCTGAAATGTAAGAAGCCAGGCTCTGCCAGGCTTGTTGGGGTTTCCAGAAATGAGGGGCCTTTCTAAAAAAGAAAAAACAAAACAACAAAAAAAACTTCTGTTAAAAAATTCCCAGCCTTTTCTGGAGACAGGCAAGTGTGACTCTCAGATCTGAAAAAGTAGAGCAAGTTAAGTCAACTACCTCAGCCAAAGGTAGCCAAAGCCTAATTCATTTTAGATTTTGTAAATTCGGGTTAGCATTATAAATTCTCATGTAATCTGTAAGCTAGTCTATTCTGTGGAACATAAGGTTGCTTCCTAAACAGTATTTGCTCATCCTGTGTGCCAATTCTAATCCAGCGTAAGCCTACAAAATCTCTGTGTATTGATGAGGAGTCCTTAATGGCAAGGAAGCCCTGATGTGGTTTAGGACCCATGATGAAGGAAAGACCCAGAATTTGCCGGAGAACATACAGGTGACTTAACTGATCTGAAACTGTAACTCTGCTAACCCCCTTTTTATTTTCAGGTACTTTTACCCATTTCCAGTACCACCTTTACTTTATCAAGTTGAGCTTTCTGTGGGAGGACAGCAGTTTAATGGGAAAGGCAAGACGAGGCAGGCTGCGAAACACGACGCCGCTGCGAAAGCTTTGCGGACCCTGCAGAGTGAGCCCCCGCCGGAGAGGCTGGAGGGGAGGCGGCCAGGCGAGCAGGTGGGTGCGGAGAGGCGTCCTCTTGGGGTCTTTTTCTGAGAAGATGCATTGAGAGCTGTCCATAATGTTTGTTATTTGGTAGCTTACACGATTCTATGCTCTGTGGCTTTCTGGCCTCCCACCCCCACCCCCTTAAAAAATGTTTTAGTAAGAAAGATGCCTTCTTTTTTCCTCTGTGGTATAGTTTTGAGTGAACATGGTAGAAAGATTGTGACTCAGTTGAATTGTGAAGTACATGCATTGATGAATTCTTCGGTGCAAAAGATAATGCTTGTTGGAATCTATTGCAACTTATGGTACCAGCTTGGAGAATTTTCTAAAGCCATTTTTTGACCAGCTACTCTATTATGTTGAAGTGCCAGTTACCTATTGCCGCATAACAAACCATTACAAAACCTAGTGGCTTAACCACCTCTAGGCATTTATTTTGCTCACATATCTGCAATTTAGGCAGGGCTTGGCATGGGAGCTGGTCTCTGCTCCACATAGCTTTGGCTAAGGTAGTTCCGCAGGAGCCAGAGGATCCATTTTCAAGATGGCTGCTCCCTCACATGGCTGGAAGTTGGTGCTGGCTGTTGGCTGAGAGCTCGGCCGGGGTTCTGGCCCGAGCACCTCCGTCCCTCTTAGTTATCCTATACAGAGACTGCTTCCCCATCCTCATGGTATGGTGCTGGCTTCCAAGAGTGAGTATCCTAGAAGACAGGAAAGGAAGCAGCTTCCAGTTTCTTAAGGGCTAGGCCCAGAAATCCTCACAGCATTGCTTCTGCTATATTCTACAGGTCAAGCAGGCACGGAGCCCAGATTCAAAAGGAGGAAATACAGAACCTCCCTTTTTATTAATAGGTAAAATTCACACAACATAAATTCACAATTTTAACTGTTTTAGGTGTACAGTTCAGTTGCTTTTAGTACATTGACAATGTTAACCCCACTTCTGGATGAGAAGAGTGTCAAAGAATTTGCGGGCCATGTTTTAAAAATCTCATGGTAGGAATAGGTTTTTAACTCCTTGCGACTAAATAGGAACATAGGTCTTAGGAAGTCAGTGACTGTTTTTCATTATGATGTGTTTCCATTTTCCAGTGTAATCACACATTTTAAAACAGAGATGATGTGTTTCCAGGGTCCAGTGAGGACCAAATAAAAGAAGGGACTGTAATTTAGAAGAGGGGGATTTCATGAAGTTAAAGGGATGAGCTTCTTACTGGTGAGTTTGTTAGAGGCAGTAGGTAGTGTAATCTGAGTCATTTTGGAGGTTTTGCATTTTTTTACTTCAGTTTGGTGCTAATGTAATTGGAGTCAGATGGGGTAGTTATTTCTCAGTGTTTTGTAGCCAGCAGTTGTTAAATGATCGCTGAACACTGGTATGTGGGCTGTCTGCTTCAGAACCACTTGAGAAGTTTAAAAAAAAAAAATTCCTTGGTCCAACCCACACGATTCTAATAGGAGTCTGTCTTTTGCCTTTTTTTTTTTTTTGCTTTTTAAATGTGCTCTTGGAGTAGCTCTAAAGCTCGATCAGGGTTTGGGAACCCCTGGTCCTAAGTATTATCAGTGCTTCCCCCTCAGGCAGCTGCTCTACTTTGAATCCTGCTTGGGAGTGCTTCCCGTATTGTTGAAAAGGGCAGGTGCCCATTGGTGTCTCCAGTCTGACCCCATGGCCCTGGAGCAGCGTGGTCGGCTCCAGCCTGAGGGCAGAGGCTGGAGTGGACTTGCTCTCCTGAGCTGAGTTTCACATGCTCATCTGCCATCTCTACAGAGCTTTGCTGAGAGTAATGGTAAATCTCCTCTTGCCCCTGTTCTAGTTCTGTATGGTTTGAAATAGAGACCATGCCCTTCAAAAATGGCTGAGACTGGCTTAACCAGTGCTGCAGAAATAAGAATCATTGAGTCGAGTAAGACTTTCTTTGAGATAATAAATGAAACACTTAGCCTCCTGCCTCAGTGAGCTGCCCTTTGATTTACCAGGCCTCCTGGGTAGGTGGGTAGTAGGATGCAAAGAGAGAGACATTTTTTTTTTTTAATTAATTTTAAGAGAGAGAGTGCACAGGTGAGTGGGGAGGGGCAGGGGGAAAAGGAGAGAGAGAAAATCCCAAGCAGGCTTCCCACCTAATGCGGAGCCCAACTCGGGGCTCAGTCTCAGGACCCTGAGGTCATGACCTGAGCTGAAATCAGCAGTTGGAGCCCCAGGTGTCCCAGGAGGGACATTTTTAGAAAGTATCTTTACCTTTTTTTACTTAAAGTTAAACGCATGTGAACTGTAAAAATTTTAAAAACGTTTTGGTGGATGTCAGTGCATATATAAGTAAGTACATGCACCCGTCTGTTTAACAGAAGTGGGGTGATATCATATGGTAACCACTTTTTTTCACTCAACCGCTTATCATGAATACACTGTCATGCCATTTACTTATAATTCCTTGGAGGACTCAAATTCAACTGGCATCTAAGCAGTTTTTAATAGCTACAAAGTGTTTCACTGTGTGAACATAGCAGTTTATTTTTTCAACAGAGCCTTAGTTATTTGGGTTGTTTATTGTGTTTCCTTTTAGAAAATAGGTAGTGAAGAACATTGTTGTAGTTAAATCTTTGTGCATGTCTATGACTTTTTATGAGCCATGGACCTGGACTGGAATTGCATGGCAAGTGTATATGGCCAAATTCCCCACTAGAAAGATGGTACCATTGTAGACCTCTGCCAACAGGGTGTGAGCAGCATGTTTGCCCCTGGCCTGCCAGGATTGGAAATTATAATTTTAAACAAACTGTTCATTTTGCTTTTGACGATTTGTAGGGCATGTGATTGGTGGATCAATTCATCTTCTTTAGAACATGGCCAATAAAGACAGCAATTTCTGCCTACAAGGCAGATATAGTCTGGTCCCTTGACGATAGGCATCATGCTAGGTCCTTAGGAAAAACCACAGCCCTTTCCCTTCCCTGGTGGGGTTTCATTGAACAGCTGACAGGTGTTAACGTTAGAATCATCAGAGTGCAGTGAGTGCTAGGGTGGGAAGTAGCAAGTATTACGAGAGCATCAGATGTCTATTTATTTATTTATTTGAGAGAGAGAGAGCACGAACAGGAGGGACAGAGCAAGAGGGAGAGAGCATTTCAAGCGGACTCCCTGCTTAGTGTGGAGCCCAGCGTGGGGCTCAATCCTATGACCCTGAGATCATGACCTGAGCCGAGACCAGGAGTTGGACACTTAACTGACTGCACCACCCAGGCACCCAGCTGTCTCCGTTAGAGGGAAGTGAGGGTGATGCATTTAGAGACGTCCTTTCTGGGGAAGTGGTGTTGAAGCAGAGACCAGACAGAAGCAGAAGAGTGGGAGCAGCTTGTGTAAAGGTCCTGCGTTGGGAATGTGCCTTTTGTTTTTTGGGGGGGGTTTTTTGTTTTTGTTTTTTAAATCTAATGTTTGCGGTAATAAAGAATGACTTATTCAGTGTCTGAGCTGCTAGGAGCAAGATGGCTAATAGCTACAGTATTTGTAATAGACAAAACAGGAGCTAGCTTATGTCTACTAGTAGGGAAGTGGTTAAATAAACAGCTACATTTGTCGGAGGGAGGCCCAGGGTATGGTAGATCTGTACACATAGGCATGAAAGGAGGTACATAATGTAAGGGGTGGGGGGCGATCAAGAACCAGAGCTGTAGTTTTGTAGATAGTGTGATCCTGTTTGTGTTTAAGTAAATAAAAGTGCCAACTGTGTGTATGTATGTATGCATATGTATATGTTTGCTTGCACGTAGTTTCTGTCTTGAAGGCTGTACGAAGCTTTAAAAGTAGTTTTCGCTTGGTGGTAGTGGTAGGAGACAGACTTTTTAAAAAAATTGTACTGTCTGAAGGGTTTTTTTTAATACTAGTGTAAAAATAAATACATGGAGCTCTTCTGGTCTTGAGTCTTATCTTCACTTGGGCCAGGGCTTAAACTAAAATTGGAGACCTTGATTTTCATTATTCTGTCAGGGTCCGTTAGACCCAATTTTCATTTTTGAGCTTCTTTTTCAAGCTCTGTAAGGAGTGATATTGCATGACTTGTATTCTTTTCTGGAGATCTTAAAAGAACAAAGAGAAAACATACTTTTTAAAATAGAATAAAACTCATTCTGTCTTACACTGATCACATAGATCCTTTGGACCCTTTTGTAAATCTCCGCCTTAGGGAATCTGAATTTTCCTTTGTCTTGAGACCTTCTGCTCTTTGTCATCTGACATATCATTTCAGCACTCTTTGTAATCCATCCCTACACATGCTGAGCAGGACTCAGATAAAAGGACGTGGAATTGCGATGCCGCCCCGGGGTGGCTGCTCCCGTAGTGAGATGACCCGTCGTCCTTTGCTGGGCCTGCTGCACCGCCCGATGTGGCGTGTCCTGCCAAGGAGATGCAGAAGACTGGAGACAGCTTCTTTTCCCTGTGCGCTTAGCTTTCCTTGAACTCAGGTGGGAAGTTAGAATTTTTCTTTGCCTCTAATGGCAAAAAGAAGAAAGTTGACAGAGGAAGACCTTCCCGTTATTAGACAAGCAAGAAGATGAAAGCAGAGGGACGGCAGGGCCCTAGACTCCAGGGGTGATGGTGGGATTGAGAGTTCAAGCGAATCTCAGACTGTGAGTCTTCAGACAGTCTCTTAGATAAGCTCTCCCAAACTCAAGACTCGGCGAGTGAACAGTGTATTTCTGCGGTGTATGAAAAGCAAATGTGTATTTTTTTCTGACCATTCAACAGGAAGGACATCGTCACACATTATTTTGTGACAAGAATCTGGAACATCCTGTTTTCATTTTTTAAAAAGTATGTGACAGCATTCTTTTAATTTTTATCATGTGTGGCCACCAGAATTTACTTCCCACCACTTATGGTCCACAAAATAAGTGGACAAATGCAAAAGGTGTGTGTACAAAGGTCAGTAGGAGGATATAGATGATAAGACAATGAAAAAACTCATTAGATCCTTCCTTCGGGGTTTACAAATCTAAAAATGAAAGCATTTTGTAGTTAGGGAGCAAAGAAAATGGCTGTTCTCTCTTTGATACAGTTATGAGTCAGTTTCACAAGTAGTGTGTTCTGATGATACCACTACTAGAAGAGTCAGAAGTCATGATAAGCTAGAACCCACTGGGGATGGATTTGAAAAATGGCTTTGCTACAGGTGGGCTGGGCTCCTGGTTCAGATGTGCTAGCAGATGAGCAGTTAGCTGCATTTAAAGGACTGTGCCCATTTAGGGTACATCAATGCCTTCCAGACTACAAACCTGGAATAAAAACTTGGATTTGCTATTTTAATTTATTTTATTTTCTTTTTTTTTTTTAGATTTATTTATTTATTTTAGAGTGAGCAAGCAGGGGGAGGGGGGAGGGCAAAGGGAGAGAGAGAATCTCAAGCAGACTGCCCCGCCCAGGGAGGCGCCCCATGTGGGCCTCTGTCCCTTGACCCTGAGATCATGACCTGAGCCAAACTCGAGTCAGATGCCTAACCACCTGAGCCACCCAGGTGCCCTGCTGTTTTAATTCTTGTTAAAATCTCTAAGGAAAAGATTCTTATTGTCCTTTTATTCTGTATGTTATTTGTAAAATGACTAAATATAGAAAAATAGAGAGTTTCTTGGAGCCAGATAGTAAACGGTGAGATGACTATTTTTTTCTGGCATACTGAGGGTTAAGCATGGTTCAGAGTGTTTATTTCTTTTCTTAATGTTGCCTAGATTTTATTGCTGAACCATACACTATGGAATTGATGTTAACAGTAATTCCCACTTCATGAAGGTAAGACTAAGGCTCCACTACACTTTCCCCATTTTACTGGGAATGGTATTTGTGGATTTGTTTTTGACTCATTTTGCTGCTTTCCCATTGCAACATTTTGTTCACTCCAGATAATATCAAAATTATGTAAAAGAGCAACATAATCTCACTTCCAAGTAAATGTGTATCTTTGTTTCCTGTTTTGCATTTTTATTTTACTGGCTGCTTTGTCCCTATTGAAATCCCTTGAGAAACAATTGGCTTAGAGCAGTAAATCTCCACTCTGCTTGTAAAATCAGCTGGAGTCTTTTAAAAAAAAAAAAGTACTATAAATAAAATGGATCTTTAAAAGCCCTACCTGAAAAAAATTTAAGTTTCCTCATCTGGAGTAGGAATCTAGATAGCATCTGTCCTTGCAAAGCTCCCAAGTGATCCTGATGCTGCTGTGGTTAAGAAACACTGGCTTACAGTTTAGATTTTTGCAGTAGATTGTTGTTTTCCATCAGACTTATGTGGAAGCTCAATATATAAAATAGGAAAGTAGCATTTGATTAGTATAAACTTCTGAGTTTGAATTTTATAGTATTTTTGAAGGTAAATCAGTGAAAATGATTTATGTGAATTTTCAAAACACAAAATATACCATATATTGTTTTCGTCCACTAAAAAAACATGGCTGTGAGAAAGATACATTCCCATTTTAAAATCATGATTAAGGCTGCCATGGAAAGGAGAGTGAGGAGAGCTTCGTTGTTTTCCTTAAAAAAATTAAAATTTCATGTCAGTAGTTCTTAATGTTGGGACATTTGTTAAATCTAGCACAATTGCCTGTTAAATTATTTATCTCTGCTTTTCTGAATGTTTGAAATAGGTCATAATTAAAAGTTAAAACTAATTGGGCTGGTAAAATGAACAACAGGTTTGAAAATTGGAGAATGTGCGTGGTGGCTGAAGTCTTATTTTAGCCTCAGCACCCAGTTTATTTCAAAATTTTCTGGTTGCATTAACAGTTACTTAGCATCAGAGTGGAGCCTTTGTTTTAACAGCTCATCTGCTTAAAAAAAAACCTCTGGATATCCTTCAAATAAACAGCTGTCAAAAACCTTTAATTGTGCACAAAAATGAGTTAACCTTTTAGCATAAGTTAATGTGTTGACAATCTCTAGTGTGTTAATATTTGGTACAAAACATACTTTTTTTAGTTGCTTTTTGAAGATAAACATAACATAAAGGTTACCATTATAACCATTTTTGAAGTGCACAGTTCTGCAGCATTGAATATATTCTCAGTGTTGTGCAACTGTCACTACTATCCATTTCTGGAACTTTTTTTTATCTCATATTGAAACTCTGTGCACATTAAACAATAACTTCCCCTCCATCTCCCCGCCCACCCCAGGGAACATCTACTTCTGTCTCTATGTATTTACCCATTCTAGATACCTAATATAAGTGGATATTCATCTTTTGTCAGGCTTATTTCATTTATCATGTTTTCAAGGTCCATCCATATTGTAGCTATGTGTCAGCATTTCCTTTCTTTTTAAGGCTGAGTAATACTCCATTGTGTGACCATTCCACGTTTTGTGTATCCATTCATCTGTTGTTGGATGTTTGGGTTGTTTTCACTTTTTGGCTACTGTGAATAATGCTGCTGTAAACATAGGTGTCTGGGTATCTGTTTGAGTTCTTTTAAGTTCTTTCGAGTACATATCTGCTAGTGTAATTGCTGGATCATCCTATAAATCTATGTTTAACTTTTTGAGGAACCACCACACTGTTTTGCACAGAGGCTGGGCCATTTTATATTCCCACCAGGAATGCCCTGGGATTCCCACTGCTCCATGTGCTTGCTAACACTTGCTGTTTTCTGTGGCCGTTCTTAAGGGGTGCAAAGTGGTGTCTCATTGTGATTTTGACTTGCATTTTCCTAATGATGAGTCATACTGAGCTCATGTACTCGTTAGCCTTCTTCATGTACTCATTTCTACCTTCTTAAGAAAATGTCTATTCAAGTCCTTTTCCCATTTTTAAATTGGGTTGGTTGGTGTTGAGTTGTTTATATATTCTGGATATTAATTCTTCATCAGATCTGTGATCTGCACGTGCTTTCTCCTATCTGGGTCGTCTTTACTTTCTTGAGAGCGTCTTTTGATGCACAAAAGTGTTTAATTTTGATGCAGTCCAGTTTATCGGCTTTTTCTCTTGTTGCCTCTGTTTTCCGTCTCCTATCCAAGAAGTCACTGGCACATCCAGCATCATGAAGCTTTTTCCTGATATTCTAAGAGTTTTATGATTTTAGCACTTAGGTCTTTGATCCATTTTGAGGTAATTTTTGTATATGGTATAAGGTGTTTGTTTTTGTTTGCATGTGGAAATCTGTTTTTCTAAGCACCATTTGTTGAACATATTAAAATGCAGGGTGGTTGTTTGTTTGTTTTAAGTTTAAAAACTTGTTTGAAAAATAAATTTCAAACCAAACCTCCACGGAGCTCTAAGGCATCTTGCTTGAAGATTTCTGGCTTTAAAGATTCACTCATAAAAAGTCAGGCCCTCTTTCCGTTTAGGATTTAAACAAGAGTAAAAGTATCTTTAAGTTAATAAAGCCACCAGAAATGCTATGCAAATAGTTCTGACCAGGCAGAGAGTGAAGTGAAACCTGGCTGGAAGGAGAATGCCAACATCATGGCAGGAGAGAGAAGTAGAGAGTGTCTGGGATGAATTTACTGGTATAGGATTATATTCTTGATGGTATTAATATTTTTAACTTAAGAGTTTTATTTTTTTTCATTATAGTGTGAAATACTGATACACGGAGGTGTAAGTCTATCTGATGAACGTATAGAAACGCACAACCGATAAAATCCTGGATAGTCCTGCGTTTTGCCTATTCCGCGGTTGTAGCCATGGGTTCTCGTCAGAAAGTTCTAGTCTTGGAAATAGGATTTTTACCAATTTTTGATAAAGAGTCACAATAATAAGAAATAAGAAAAATGCAGCTCTCTTGCCACGATTTGCAGGGAGGGGGGCATTGCCGTTACTGAGCTTACCTGGATTCTCATCACTGCGCCGATAGTCGGTTATCAGCTCGCACCGAGATCTCTGCCCTCCCTAATCCCAGCCCTGGCTGGAGGACTGTAAATGAACCTTGTTAAAGATGGAGTCTCAGCCTTTGTTGAGCACACTTGATTAGTTTGCACTTGAATTTTGGCTAGCAGCAGTGAGGAAAAGATTTTGTATACATTTTCATAATTTGTTCCATTGCATCCTTTTTTTAAAAAGTGGGTTTCCAGGGACTTTATGTCCAGATGAGAAACCTGCATACTTAGATGGAGAGACTTCTATTTGAACTTGCCATGTCCCACACAGAGCTGTCTGTATTCTGACTTTTTCCAGAATGTGCCTTGCTGGTCCTCAAGGAAGGCTTTGGGAGTCTGTCACTCTTCCTGGGCAGCTGTGGGCGCGTGGTTGCGCCATGTTGAGGCTGATTCATACCCCTGAGTCTGTTAGGTGTGGGGCTGTTTATGGTGGATTTACAAGGTACAAGCTGACCCAAGTGTGAAATAATACTTTTTTTTTTTTTTTTAATCTTTAAATCCACTGCCACATGGCACACAGGTGGCCTTGCTCCCTGGGGTAGTGCTCACTCCATGAAGCCAAGGTTCAGTGCTTAAGGGTTATCACAGCTGGGATGTTGACAGTTTTTAATAAGAGTTAACTACTAAACAATTATTCTTTCTTTAGGTGAATGGAAGAGAATCAGAAGAAGAAAATCTCAATAAATCGGAAATAAGTCAAGTGTTTGAGATTGCACTTAAACGGAACTTGCCTGTGAATTTTGAGGTAAGCTTGCTTTACATGTAGGACTCCACTGTAAAATTCTGTTGGCATTCACCATTGGCATGATTTTTTTCCTAAATAACATTGGAATTATCATCACAAACCTGTGAACCTTCAGGTTTAAGACTCAGACATTATCCTTAGTAAAGCAATATATATATTTTTTAAAGATTTTATTTATTTATGTGACAGAGAGAGAGCACAAGTAGGCAGAGAGGCAGGCAGAGGAAGAGGGAGAAGCAGGCTCTCTGCTGAGCAGGGAGCCCGATGGGGGACTCGATCCCAGGACCCTGGGATCATGACCTGAGCCGAAGGCAGACACTTAACCGACTGAGCCACCCAGGCGCCCCTTAGCAAAGCGGTATTGATTCTCTTCTTCAGGGTTGCTAATTTAGGGGCCGCCATGCCCCTCTAGACAGTCCGTGGATGGTCTGTGAGCCTCCCAGAATGATTTTGAAGATTGTGTTTGTGTTCTCATGTGTTTTCTGGAGAGAGGTTCCATTGTTTTCATAAGACTCTCAAAAGACTCTGTTACTCCCAAAACGTTAATCTCCTTAGCAGTCCCTAGGAATCATACAGCAGCGTTAAAAGGATATCAGTTTTGTCCTTGTCCAGCATTTGCCCTTTAAATCACCTCTCTAATAACTTCATTTGTTGTTAGAGACTTTATGGTCTTAAAAACCATAACTTAATGGGCTGTTAGTTCAATATGGAAAGTAAGGTACATTTAGGACATGTTTCCTTCAAGGACCCAGTGAATCCAAATAGATGAGGCAGGTGATGGAGGTTAGTAAGTTTTCTGTAATGGTCTGACACACAATGAATTCTTTGCAAATCCTTTTGGTTTCCACACTTGGTTATGCAAGGTTGTGTTTTACTATACAATGCACATTTCTTTATCAATTCTTTGGTCTTTCAGAGGTGGTTTTTTCTTTGTTTTTTTTTGAGAGAGAGCACGGGGAGGGTGGGGAGGGACAGAGGGAGAAGGAGAAGGGGAGAGAATCTTGTGGAGCCCGATCTCATGACCCTGAGGTCATGACCTGAGCTGAAATCAAGAGTTGGATGCCTAGGGGCACCTGGGTGGCTCAGTCAGTTAAGCGTCTGCCTTTGGCTCAGGTCATGATCCTGGGATCCTGGGATCGAGTCCCACATTGGTCTCCATGCTCAGGGGGGCAGTCTGTTTCTCCGCCCCCCACTCGTGCTTTTTCTCTCTCTCTCTCTCTCAACTCTCTCTCAGATAAACAAATAAAAAATCTTAAAAAAAGAAAAAAGTTGGATGCCTAACCGACTGTGCCCCCCAGGCGCCCCAGGTCTTTCAGAGTTCTAAAGACTATATATTTAGTCTTCCAAAATGCGCTACGCTTCTACTTCGTTACTTAGGCAAATGTAATTTGAGGTGGGGCATTTGCTTTTTTTTTTTTTTTAAAGATTTTATTTATTTATTTGAGAGAGAGAGAGAGAAACAGCATGAGAGGGGAGAAGGTCAGAGGGGCTCAGCCCGATGTGGGACTCGATCCCAGGACTCCGGGATCATGACCTGAGCCAAAGGCAGTCGTTTAACCAACTGAGGCACCCGGGGCATTTGCTTTTAAACAATTTTAAGTGGTCCATAAATTTCTTTTGGCCTGTTTCTTTTTTTAAAAAGTCCCCCTGTGGAGCACCTGGGTGGCTCTGTTGATTAAAAAATCCCCCTGAAGTTTATTATCCTGTAAAATACTGTAATTTTGTAGCATTTTTGCAGTTACAGGTGACCCCCAAACTTCATGCCTGACCTTCATAAAATATATACCTTCTCCTATTAATGTGCTAGTGCCCTAAACTGGCTCCTGAGTTCAGTCCTTAACCCCTGAGCTGCATGCTGCTGACTTCTGGCCTTTAGCTCGCAGTGCTTCCCTGCCTGCCGTGGGGCACGGGTGGGATGGGAAGTTATACTTGCATCATGGGGCCACCCTGCGTCACCTCACACCCATCCCTGTCCCACCCTGGCCAGCAGGACCAGGTTTACACTGTCCCTTCCTCCCAGAGGGCAGAGCCCCGGAGAGACGAGGGCTGTGTCTTCTCACCTGGCTCTCCGGCCCTTCCGGCCCTTCTCCCTCTGTTGGCATTGGGGAGGGAGGCGATACGGAGACAGGAGATACGCAGAATGACAGGGCTAGTTGCTGGGTGGGAACCAGGTGGGAGCTTCACTCCGAAAATCACGAGGTCTTCCTGGGTACCTGTTGCAGGAAGAGAAGAAGTCCTCCTTTTCTCCTCGTGCTGAGGGATTGGTAGGGCATGAGAATGGATTTTTAGAGATTAGAGGGGTGCCAAGATTGTGGGAGTGGGAGGTGCCTGGCTTCCCGGGTCACCTTGAATATTTTATTTTGAAAAATTTCAAACCTGTGGAAAAGTTGGAAGAATAGGACAATGAATTTCTCCTTCACTGAGATTTACTAGTGATTGACATTTTACATTTGCTTTTTCTTTCCCAGCAGGCAGCGCAGGATCACACCCTGCATCTGGTAGAGGCATACCTGGGCTCTTTTGTCTGTAACAGTTCGCAGCAGTAGGTGACTGCTGGCACCAGGGCCCTGGATCCCTGTGAAGCTTGCCACCTGTTCCTACTAGTTTGTTGCCCTGCCTGAGAGTCACAGAGCTTTCTGGAACCTTAGTGAAGGAATGCCATTTTGTTTTTGCTCTGTGGGATTTGGAGACCAGATTGCTTCTGTCCCACTTCCGCTTGGGTTTCCAGCTTGTGTTCAGGAATATGTAACACAGCAGGAAATGGTCTGGTCACCTAAAGGAAGTTTTGGGAGTGCCCTCTGGTGGGTGAATATCTTTAGGGTAGTCATTTAAGGCATTCCAGTTTGTGCGTTGGTGGTGGTGTTGAATTTGTTAATGTGAGTGCTCATGTTAAATAGCTCATCTATCAAAGGGTCATATTACTTCCATTATTAGCTTGAGCAAGGGCTTTCATTTTCTTCCCCCACAGATCTGTCTCTTGTACCTGGAAGATTGCCTGGCACATACTGGATGCTCAGGAAATGTTTGTTGAATAAATGAATGGAACGGTTTTTTTTTTTACTGAGTTTTTTATAGTAAAATCTGTCACATAGAAATCTGGGTTAGAAGTGTTTAATAGAAGAAGGCAGGAGCCTTTCCTACGATTCTCCAGAAAAAATGTATATAGCTTGACTTTTGATTACATAGTTTTAGTTAAAAAATGTGATGGTGCTGATTGATAAAGTCACCGGGAGGCAGTTGTGACCTCTACGTGACCTTGCACTAAATCCATGGTAGGTGGAACTCCACATTTAGATGGGTTGGCTGGTGATGTGAGTAGATGACTTGAGTCAACTCTGAGAGGCCAAGAGGCCAGGTGGGGCTGAGTGTTGGCAACCAGGCTGTCAGGGTTGGGAGGTGGTGTATGAGGGGCCCCGGGAGCCCTGCGCTCCGTGTGCTGGGCCCTCCCAGCCAACCTCTTCCTTTGGGGGGCAGTGAAGGCCGCTCTCCGAGGGGCCTCTGGTTCTCACCTGGGGAGCACAGCACCGTTGTTTTGGGGCTCATTTGGTTTTCCTAGCCATTTTTTGAGTATTTTATTTTGAAAAATTTCAAACCTGCGGAAAAGTTGGCAGAATAGGACAGTGAATTTCTCCTTCACTGAGATTTACTAGTGATTAACCTTTTACATTTGCTTTTTCTCTCTGTGAATGCACGTATTATTTCCTCTCTCTTCTTACCCTTGCTGGGTCATTTGAGTAAGTGGCAGCTATCAGGATTCCTAAATTTCAACGTGTATCTTTGAAGGACAAGACATTATTTTAAGCACAATCTAATGATCAAATACAGGAAATTGAGCGTCACTAATTCTTATGTAACGTACGTCCTATATTCACATTTTGCCATCTGTCCCTTCCGTCCTTGATGGTACGTATTTTCCTGTTCTGGTGGCAGCGCAGAATCACACCCTGCATCTGGTAGAGGCATCCCTGGGCTCTTTTGTCTGTAACAGTTCGCAGCCTCTTTTGACATTTTTAAAAGGTACTTTGTAGAATGGCCTTCAGTTTGGTCTGATTGTTCCCTCATGATTAGTTTCAGATAATGCATTTTTTCCCTCAGGACACCACAGATGTGGTGTCGGTTCTTCTGAGCATCACATGAGGGCGTTTCCCCCCGTGTCAGTGACGTTCCTTTCATTGGGTTACACCAGAGCTTCACCTTAAGGAGACTTTCTTTCTCTTTGCAATTAATCCGTATCCTGCGAGGAGATGTTTGAAGGTTATGCCCTCAGAGATTTCCCCAGTGATTCTCATAGTCATTGATAATTCTTCCCCGTAACAGTCACTGCTGTGGTGGATTTTCTGCCTTTCTGAGCTGACATTCCACAGGAAGTACCCCACCTCTGTACGTTAATTTTTATTAGCATAGGTCCACAGCTTCTTTTTTTATTCAGAGTGTTACTTCATTATTGTCATTCATTAGGGGGCGCCTGGCTGGCTTAGTCGGCTGGCTTAGTTGGGTGGAGGTGGAGGAGTGGGACTCTTGGTCTTGGGGTCATGAGTTCAAGCCCCATATTAGGTGTAGAGCTTACATTTAAAAAAAAAGGAAAACGGAAAAAAAAGAAGAACCATGGTTCAACGTTATTGTCATTCATTTTGATCTTCAAATTGCCATTCAGCTGGCTGCTGTGTCCTTTGATATTCCCCTGTGGGGATGTTTTTGGAGGGGAGGGGAGTTTTTTTTTTTGAGATATAACTTACATACGGTAAAATCTGTCCTATTCAGATTTCTTTGATGTGTTTCGATGAATGTATACAGTGGTGGAACCACCCCTGCAGTCAAGACCTAGAACCTCTTTCACCCTGTAGTTGCCCTGAACCCCTTTGCAGCCAGTGCTTTTCCTCCGTCCTCAGCCTCAGGCAACCACTGATCCAATTTCCGCCCCTACAGTTTTTCTCTTTTCAGAACATTACATAAATGGAATTACAGAGTTTATTGCCTTTAGTCTGGCTTAACTTAATGTAATGCAGGTGTTGAGTTGTCCATGTTGCACAGAGCAGTAGTTCCTGCCTTTTTTTTTTTTTTTAAGATTTTATTTATTTAGGGGCGCCTGGGTGGCTCAGTCGCTAAGCGTCTGCCTTCGGCTCAGGTCACAATCCCAGGGTTCTGGGATCGAGCCCTGCATCTGGCTCCCTGCTCGGCGGGGGGCCTGCTTCTCCCTCTTCCCCTCCCCCTGCTTGTGTTCCCTCTCGCTGTGTCTCTCTCTGTCACATGAATAAATAAAATCTTTTTAAAAAATTTATTTGAGAGAGAGAGAGAGTGAAAGAGAGAAAGCACAGGTGGGGGGGGTGCAGAGGGAGAAGCAGACCCTGAGATCATGACCTGAGCTGAAACCACCAGTTGGATGCTTAACCAGCTGAGGCACCCAGGTGCGCACCCCCACCCCTCGAGCATCTTTCCTGTGCCGCTTTGCCATCTGGGCATCTTTGGGGGAGCGTCTGTTCATGTCTGTCGGTTTTATTACGGAGTTGTTTTTTTTATTTTTTTAAATTTTTTTAAAGATTTTATTTATTCATGAGAGACAGAGAGAGAGAGAGAGAGAGAGAGAGAGAGAAGCAGAGGGAGAAGCAGGCTCCCAAGGAGCAGGGAGCCCGATGCGGGACTCGATCCCAGGACCCTGGGATCATGACCTGAGCCGAAGGCAGATGCTTAACCATCTGAGCCACCCAGGCGCCCACGGAGTTGTTTTATTACTGAATTTTGAGGGTTATTTATATGTTCTGAATACAATCCTTTTATCAGATATGTATTTTCTAAATATTTTCTCCCAGTGTGTGGCTTGTCTTTACATTTTTTAAATGGTATCTTCCAAAGAGCAGAGAGATTTTAGTGAGGTTCAATTTGCCTAATTTTTCTTTTATTTTTCATGGTGGTTGTATGTAACCTAAGACACTTTTGTCTCATGTAAGGTCATTCTTCTTCTCTTCTCAAAGCTTTATGATTCATTTTGAGTTACAGTTTTTATATATGCTGTGAGGTGTTTTTTTCCCTCTTCTGCTTGTGTGCCTCATTGTCCCTGCTTGCTCGCTTCTCACCTCCCCTCTTCAGATTTTGAGTGAACCTAAATGTTTTAGCCTTACCCTTACTTTGAACTTTCCCTGCTCAAGTTTTGGCACCAGTAGAAATGGAAATTCTAACAGAAATGGCCTTAGCTGGTCCTACAGGAGCCCCGTTCCCCCTCACAGAGAGCGGCCTGTGGAGATCAGGATGGGGCACCAGGCATGCTTGTTGCTGCTGGAGGGAGGGTCACTGCTTCTAGGCCTCGTAGGCAGGTATCACTAGAAAATACCTCTGTTTTCAGAATTGCCAGTTTATACCTGTAATTTCAATCTAGCATCACAAGGCTGTTCCCCTCCGTTCCTAATTCCATACTTAGACCTCCTGCTGACTGTCGAGGTGTCCTTCCTGTGTAGAAAATGGGCATGTCTTCAGGGCACAACCCATTCAAGCCCGTGGTCCACCACCCAGATCCAGATCTAGAGCATTCCCATAACCTCCAGCAGTCCCTGGGCCCCTTTTCAAGTTAACACCTGCCCAGAAGCTGTTTTCTGAAACCACTTTAGCTTCATTTCTTTGTTCTTAGACCTCATATAAATAGAATGATACAATATGGATTGTCTCTAATCCTCAACAGAGTGTTTTTAGTCTCATCCATGTATATCAGTAGCTAATTGCCATGCAGTATTTCCCTGTATGAATGTAAAGCTGTGCTTTATCCATTGTCCTCTTGATGGACATGTGAGTTGTTTCCACTTTGGGAACTTTTATGAATAAAGCTGTTAAGGCTTCTTGTGTACACATGCACCCAGAATTGCCAAGTCAAGGGTAGGTGTTTAAAAAAAATTGTCAAGCTGGGGGCGCCTGAGTGGCTCAGTCAGTTAAGCATCTGCCTTTGGCTTGGGTCATGATCCCAGAGTCCTGGGATCGAGTCCTGCATCGTCCCGCTTTGGGCTCCCTGCTCAGCAGGGAGTCTGCTCCTCTCTCTGCCCCTCCCCACCGCTCGTGTGTGCGTGCTCGCGCACTCTCTCTCTCCAATAAATAAAATCTGTAAAAAAAAAAAAAAATCGTCAAGCTGCTTCCCAGGGTGATTGTACTAGTTTATACTCTGACCACTTGTTCCACATCCTTGTCAAAACTTCATACTGTCAGTTGTTTTAATTTTAGCCATTTTGGGGTGTTGTGTATATTACATTGTTCCATTGTGGTTTCAATTTGCATTTCCTTGAAGACAAAGGATGGTCATTTTTCATATGCTTATTGGCCATTTAGAGATCTTGTTTGGTAAAGTACCTGTTCAAGTCTTTCATTAATTGGGTAGTTGACTTACAGGGGTTCTTTCGGTATTCTGGATACAAACCCTCAGATACATATATTGCAAATGTTCTCCCCCGTTCTGTGGACTCCCTGTATTTTCTAATTGTTGTCTTTTGATGAGAGCAATTATTTTAATTTCGAGGGGCTCCGAATTTGTTTTCTTTATGGCTGGTACTTTGTGTTTTCAAGAGCTGTCTGCCAGCTGCATGCTCCAGGCCTTTTCTCCTGTGTTTTTTTCTTCTTTTTTTTTTTAAAAATGATTCCAAATTAGTGTCTCTTCAGAACTTTTTTTAAGGTTTTATTTATTTGCGAGAGAGAGAGAATGAGAGAGAGAGAGCACGAGAGGGAAGAGGGTCGGAGGGGGAAGCAGACTCCCCGCGGGGCAGGGAGCCCGACGCGGGGCTCGAGCCCGGGACCCCGGGACCACGACCTGAGCCGAACGCAGCCGCTTCAGGACCGAGCCGCCCGGGCGCCCCTCGTTGTTTGCCTTTAAACAGTGCCGTGGGGGCGGCGTTGCTGTAACTTGACCGGAGTCTTGAGGCCCGGGGCGAGTCCTCTGAGCTGCCCTGTCCCCGCGTCTCAGCCGGCCTAAGTAGCCAGTTCAATTTTTATTTTCCTCCTGTGTGATCCGGTAAGAACCTTAATTAAGTTTCTGTCCATATTCAGTTTTAGTGTTTTTCTCCCATCTTCGTCGACTTATTTTTATATTTTTAATATGTAAAACACTAAATGCTTCTAAAAGTCAAAACGACACAAAGAGATACACTCAGGAGCGTCATCCTGTCCCTGCTCCGCGCGGTCCCTCCCACGTGCTGTAGGGAACTAATTCTCTCAGTTTCTGCTTTATCCACATCCTGTTTCTTTTTGCAAAAATAAGCATATAAACACACGTGTGTGTCTGTTTATGTATTTGTGTATATGTGTTGTGGGTATATATAAATTTTTTTTTACACATAAGTTAGGGTACCGTATAAACTCGTGGCAGTTTGGTTTTTTTAACTTCGTGTATATTGAGAATCACGGTCAGTGCTTAGAAATTTCTCACTCTTTTTTAAAGCTGCATAGCAACCAGGATTTAATAAGCTCAGACTTGGCTGGAGGCTCAGAGCAAATATTAAACTTGAACTCTTTGTGTTGCGATTATTTCTGGACTTCACTGGGACAGCTTCCTTTCTGCCACTTGCAGTGGATCCCCTGAACTCAGGATAGTCTCTACCCTGGGAAGACGGGAGCCGGTCTGCTCGGAGGGTGGGAGCAGAACTTGTTTCCCTCTTTACTCTGTGGTAACTGTGGGGGGGACCAACCAGACCCAAGAACATTAAGAAGTCTGAGAAATACGGAAGGGAAGAAAAGGATTCAGGATTTTCACTGTTTTCTTTTGCTGACATTTACACTGCCTGCATTGATCAGGTCTTGTCCGTAACCCCCCCTTCCCTGTGGTTCCTGGGAGGTCGTGTGCTGGGCAGTGTGTCCTACCGCTGGCAGGAAGTGCCTGTCACGCTTTCACTCAGTCTTTCCCTCTGAAACAGGTTGCCCGGGAGAGTGGCCCCCCCCATATGAAGAGCTTTGTGACCAAGGTGTCAGTTGGGGAGTTTGTGGGGGAAGGTGAAGGGAAGAGCAAGAAGATTTCAAAGAAAAATGCTGCTATCGCTGTCCTCGAGGAGCTGAAGAAGCTACCACCCCTGCCTACGGTCGAGCGAGTGAAGCCCAGAATCAAAAAGAAAACAAAATCCATAGTCAGGGTAAGAACCTTCTCGATCGAAGAGGGTATTTCCATTGCCTCTAGATGACGGGGGAGGACATACTAAAAGGCTCACTAGGTTGCTGACCCTGGTGACAGGATGGGCACTGATGTGCCACCTGCCAGGCCTGGTGCGGGGGCCACCTTGGGTAGCTTGATGCGGACGCCAAGGCACCGGCAGCTGTGCGCACACGTCGTGCGTGAGGGGGTGATCACAGGAACCGTGTGCACCTGCAGTGCCCTTCCGCAGAGCGAATGGCGAGAGAGTGTCCTTCCTCCATCTCGCTCACCGCTGAACTGGTGCAAGTGTGAAGCAGATTTGTGGGAGGAAAGGCATCTGGGGGCAGTGAGACATTTCACCAAACACTCCTGTTCTTTGGTATTTTTTAAGCCACGTCAATGCACCAGTCAAAAATTATACTAGCCCCTTGCTCCCCCACCCAGAGAAGGGACAAGAGTCCATTTGGGCATGTTTAGGAATACTAGGGTCTGTTCTGATTGTCAGTATACAGTTTTGACCCTTGAACAGCACGGGCGCTAGGGTTGCTGACCCCCCGCCCCCACCCCAGTGGAAAGCCTGGGTTTAACTTTTGATTCCCCAGACACTTAACCACTAACGGCCTACTGTTGACCAGAAGCTTTACCAATAAGATAAACAGTCAATTAATATGTTTTATATATCATATGTTATGTGTGTGTGTGTGTGTATTAAATGCTATATTCGCACAGTAATCTGGAAGAAAGCGAACATTATTAAGGAAATCTTGAGGAAGAGAAAATACACCTACTATACTATACTGTAATTATCAAAAAAAATCCACTTCTAGGTGGACCTGCACAGTTCACACCTTTGTTGTTCGAGGGCCAGCTATAGTTTCACGCTCTGCCAAGACCCCGTGCCCAGGGGTGAGCACACGCTATAGACTGTTGCGGCTCCCCTTTTCTCTCAGGAGATCCCAGGAACCACCCCACACGAACAGTGGCTGAGGGTTCCGTGGCACTAAAGATGGCCACTGGGAAGAAACTGTGGGATTCTTAGGTTCTTTCCACATGGTGTCAGCTTGAGGTTTTGCGTTTCGTGTGTGTGTGTGTGTGTGTGTGTGTGTGTGTGTGTGTGTGTGTTAAATAGTTTCTGGCTTTTGAGTCCTTGTTAAGAAAGCTGGGGACCCATCTTATAACAGTTTTGGGGGGAATTTAAGGAATAGTGTTCTGTATTTTTTTCTCTCTTGTCAAGTTGAAATTTATTGTTAAAAAGCAGACTTTTCAGGATTGCTTGCCTACCCATAGTGGGATACTGATGTTGGTTTGCCAGGAGCCTTTTAAAAAGTCACCTCAGAGCAATCCTAGAAAATCACTAAGCATCTTTAAATTTTAAGGTTTAAAAAAGATCTGATTAATTCTGGGCACTTAGATCAAACATAAAGGAATGTTGTATCGTGTCCTGACCCCTGAATTGGCGAGGTCCTCTCTGTGGCTAACATGGCACATGGTTTCTACATCCGTTGTCCTCAGCTGCAGAGCAGCACAGACTGCGGCCAGGGGATGAACCCGATCAGCAGACTGGCCCAGATCCAGCAGGCGAAAAAGGAGAAGGAGCCAGAGTACATGCTCCTTACAGAGCGAGGCCTCCCGCGCCGCAGAGAGTTTGTGATGCAGGTGGGTCAGCATGGGTTGTGGCAGCCCTTCTGTGACCATGCCCCATTGTGGCTGGAGGGGTCCAGGGGCTGGGTGCTTTCCTAAGGGGTCCAGGTCCAGTGCCCTGGCCCAGTGGGCCCCGCTCCCCGCCATTGGACATTAGTAATAGTAAGACCATGTTGCTTATAGTACATGCCTTAAAACGTGTCCTTGTGTGCACACCACACGTGCTGCTGAGTCAGCAGGTAGGAGCTCGGACACCTGCTCCAGGTCATGGGTGCCAGGGCAGGGGGATTGCGGGTGACCATTTCTCTTCAGTACATCTCCTTGAAGGCTTGTATTGTTCTTTTCAGAAGGTAAATTTTACAAGTTCCATCAAAGGATCTGTTCCTGTTCCTCCTAATCTGTAGAATCTGGAGTCTAGGGTTGGTCCTCCTTAGATTGGGATTGCACTTCGGATTAGTGCAGTGTTTTCCTTGTATTTATGAAACAGTTACTCATATGGGCAGTCTACTCTATGATTTGAATTTAATGGTGTTTTCTGGTGAAAAACCCAGGACTTTGCTCTCGTGTAGCAGTTTGCTCACAACTTGGGAAGTGTTCTCGGCGTGTTCTCCCTCCCCAGTCAGAAGGCGAGTAAAGTCACGGTCCTTCCAGGCTGCGGGGAAGATGGCAGCATACTGAGAGGATCAGTAATTTGGCCAGAATCAAAGCTGGTAGATGGCAAGGCCAGGATTCCACCCCAGAGCCCTCTTCACAGGCCAGGGAAGGTTTCCTTGACTCTCAGTTCTGGAACATGGGGCTTTTTGGTCTGGTCTGTGATCAAGACCGGCTTGGAAGGGGATTGTAAGTCACGGTATGTGCTGCAGTCTGTGTAACACTCAACTCTCTTAGGGGAGGGTGGTCTGGTGGGAAGGGGTGGGTGTGTTTATAGGTGTGTTACGCATGTATAAACTACACGTATGTATAGTACAAACGTCAGAAAGGATGAACTCCTACCTGCTGACTCAGCAGCATGTGTGGTGCGCACGCAAGGACACATTTTAAGGCATCAAATTACTACAAGCAACATGGTCTTAATAATGCTAACGTCCGATGGCGGGGAGTGGGGCCCACTGGACCAGGGCACAGTTTACAAATAATACAGAAAACACGTAATACTCTTTACTTTCCATTTTCTCTGTCACGTAAGGGCCGTGACGGTGTTAAGACGGTGTTAGAAAATCAGGCCGCGCGTGCTATCGACAAAGGAGCATAGTTCTAGCATGAGGATTGGTTAACGTTTTTGTTTACATAAACAAGATGAAAGTAAAGACACGTTGGAACTTCATTTATGAACAGTGAGTGACTTTGTTGAATCAGATCATTTTCAACGACTGGATGAATGTTCCCGTTTTTTGTGCAGTTACAGGGCCCCGGCTGCAGACTCGACATGCTTATTAGCGTAGTTTGCATCCCTGCCCCCATCATTAACCTTTCCTCCATCTCGTAAGTCTAGAGGAGACGACAAAAACCACTGAAGGCGGGCGTGCTGCACAGTGTCTGCAGGTTTCTGTGGGGTGAACGCTCTGCCTGCGGCCGTGCAGGCGTTCCGGCAGCCCCTGCGGGCCCCGCGGTCCCAAGCTGGGCTACACACACATGCCCTGGGGGCGCAGACCCTCAGCAGCACAGATGAGTGTCAGAGGGAGTCACGTCAGGAAGTGCGTTTTTAGAACTCCTTATGTTAAAGGGCCTGTAAGCTTCTATAATCTCACATTGACCAGCGGCTGCCACGGGCACCCCTGGGAAGCTTCTGGTCGCTGTTCGGTTCTTTTGCCCACATGCCGCTGCCTTACCAGTCTTTATACTCTGAAGGTGTAAGCACTGGTCTGAGTCCTGACTTCGTCCTCATGCAGGTGAAGGTGGGAAACCATACCGCAGAAGGAACAGGCACCAACAAGAAGGTGGCCAAACGCAACGCAGCCGAGAACATGCTGGAGATCCTTGGTTTCAAAGTCCCACAGGCTCAGCCCACCAAACCAGCCCTCAAATCAGAGGAGAAGGTGACTGCTCGGGGCTCTGTGTCCTTGCTCTCTAATGGCAAGATGACCTCCTCGCCTCATCCTAGGGGACTCTGGCAACCTCCAGGGCCAGGCTTCAGGGCAAGGCTTCATCCTCCTGGCAGGAAAACAGCCCTGCTGAGCGGCATCCTATCCGTTTGGAGCATTATAATGTGGTCAGAAGGGGAGTTGCATGTCCGTGGCTCCGAGCGTGGCTCTGGGTTAAGTCGTTCTTGTTTCTGTATCTCTGTGGTCGGGGACGCTCTGCTGGAGGGCACCTCGCCCCTTTCCACTTGGAGGAGGATGGGCGACGGGGCTGCAGATGACCCTGTCTGCGGCTGCCCTCGTGCTCGCAGTGGGGCCCGTGTGGAAGACCCGCGGCCTCAGGCTTCTGCTAGTTGGGAAGCAGGCTTTGGGTTGTCTGGGACACCGACACACTGGGATTTACGGAAGGAAATTCGTAATTTGGATTCGGGATTCTTTTTTTTTCTTTATGAATTGAACACTAGATACAAAACCTTCTGCCAAGATTGGTAAAGCAGTACCCTCAAGCGGGTTCTTGACCAAGCTTGTTTCCACTGAGAGGTCCCGGGATGGGACCCCTCCCTGTGCCAGCCGTGCCAGCAGCGGGCCGTGGCCTCTGCCGTGGCCGCAGACACTCCACAAAGAATCGGCACAGGGCCTGGACTTGGTTTGGGGGTTTTTCATTCCGAAATCTGATAGCGGATTCGTAACATCCTTACCTTCTCAGAAAGGAGACCTGTGTTTGCAAAATTTTTCTCATAGCATTTCCCCGCCCCCATTTGTTATCTTTGGAAATGTCACCTTTTCCTTGAATTGGATATTAGTTCCAGAAAAGTCTTTGTTTAGCTTTCATCTAAAAGCTGCTTTTTCCCGCCTTGGGGAAAGATCTAGCATCTCTGGCTCCCTCTGGTTAAACGTTCCCCTGTCCTCCTGTGAGTGCCGAGCAGAGCTCAGCCCCCGGCTCAGGAGGATTGTTAGCCTCCTCTGGTGGAGGACAGGCCGTGGGGGCAGCAGTGGCTCTGGGGCGGGCAGGGGGGACGTCAGTCTGTTTTCACGAGCCCTCCACGGGACTGATGCATGACCAAGTATAAGATGCCCAGGCAGGAGGGACGGGGGGGGGCACAGGAGGCTGCTGGGCCTGTGGGCGGGGTAGGGCTTCTCTGCTGATTACCTCTTTATAGTTCAAAAGGTTACAAACCACAGATGAAAGCTGGTTGGAGTTTTTATAGTTTCAGAGAGTAAGAACTAATTTTGCGACAGTTTGATTTCCGCTCATGGCCTTTTTTTTTTTTTTTCTTTTTTAAGACACCAATAAAAAAACCAGGGGATGGAAGAAAAGTAACCTTTTTTGAACCTGGCTCTGGGGATGAAAATGGGACTAGTAAGTGTGATGTTAATACTGTCTTGATCTGAATGTGAGTCTGGGCTTGGCGTGGCCCCTGGAACGACGAGCGGTGTTGAGCTCTGTGGCCCCCCTGAGCCGTCGTGTGCGCCGAGGGCGGGCCGGCGGGGTGGCAAAGGTCTTTCCTAGCGGCGCACGTGGCCTCGTGTTGATCTGTCTGCGTGTCCCTCCCTAGGCAATAAAGAGGATGAGTTTAGGATGCCTTATCTTAGTCATCAGCAGCTGCCCGCGGGGATTCTTCCCATGGTGCCCGAGGTTGCCCAGGCCGTAGGAGTCAGTCAAGGACACCACACCAAAGATTTCACCAGGGCAGCTCCGAATCCGGCCAAGGCCACGGTAACTGCCATGATAGCCCGTGAGTTGTTGTATGGGGGCACCTCGCCCACAGCCGAGACCATTTTAAAGAATAACATCTCTTCAGGCCACGTACCCCACGGACCTCTTACAAGACCCTCTGAGCAGCTGGACTATCTTTCCAGAGTCCAGGGATTCCAGGTAACTGTTAGGCTGGAGCTGTGTGGTCTAGACCTCAGTGCACTCACCTTTTGGGGTTTCTCTCAGAAATGAGCCTTGCACCTCGTTTATTAAATCCAGGTCTTTATGTGGAGGAAGGGTGGAGGGTACCTGGTGGTCCTGAGGCGGGTGGAGGGAGTTCGGGAAAGTATGGGACAGGCCTGTATGGTAACAGAATCACCTTGTCCTCTGCTAATAAATAAGCTTTTACAAAATCCAAGCCAACCGTAGTAACAAAGCTTCTCATCTTAGTGATAGTTCTAGCAAGAATGGATTCAGTGTGCTGGCCCTTTCAGCCTAGCAGAAAAGGACATGGCTTCTTTCAGACCAGGTGTTTGGTACCCCCCTTCCCCCCGACCAGGGTTTTTGGGTAGACATCTAGGTTTCTGGAAGATTTTAGAAGCTGGGGCCTGGGTCTGCTGCCTGCAGGCCCCCCTGATAGTCTGCTGACTGAGCAGGAGTCGTGTCAGGTTGAGGGCAGGAGAAAGAGGTGTCTTCTCCATTTGCTGGGCCCCTTGCGTATTCGCCGCTTCCCTACTTGGCCTCGGTTTTCTTTTCCCCTCAGGTTGAATACAAAGACTTCCCCAAAAACAACAAGAACGAGTTTGTATCTCTTATCAATTGCTCCTCTCAGCCACCTCTGATCAGCCACGGTATTGGGAAGGATGTGGAGTCCTGCCATGACATGGTATGTTCCCCAGTGCTCCTGGCTCCTGCCTGTTGCTGGCCTTGGGCAGATAGGAGAAGGGTTCTCCCGGAGACTTGGGTGCTTTTAATAGATTTCATATTTGTGAAGATTTCTTCCTTAGTTAATTGATTTTTCATTGTTTATCAGAATTCATCAGCGTTAGACTCTCCTTCCCCTCCCTGTGCTGGCCTGGGGGGTGGGCTTGGATCCTGGACTGCCTCCACGCGCTGTGTCCATTCCTCTCCTCCCAGAACACAGACCACACACCCAAGTTCGGGCAGCTGTAGAAAGCCCCTTATTTTGGTCTCCGTTCAGGTGAAACTACCGTTAATGAGAAGTACAAAACTGAGAAAAAGAATTGATTAATCTAGGTGATGAACTGTGGTGTATACGCCTGATGGAATATAATGCATCCATCAAATTAACGTATTCTAACAAGGGAACATGACAGGTTTCTGTTTTAAAGCAGGATACAAAATGTGTAGTCTAGTTACTATAAAGTTAAAAATATTAAAATAAAATTAGCAGAGGTGGTGATTCAGTGAGGTAAACATGGATAATTTATTTTGTAATTTGTATTTCAAATTGAAAGTCCAAATATTAAGGGAAAGTGTGGTTTAGTGGGACTCCCTGTTTTGTCCCTCGCCGACCTGTTCAAACAGCGTCTTGCTGTGGCCCCAGGTGGCGGTCGTGCTGACTCTTCTTTTCGTCCCCGCTAGGCTGCACTGAACATCTTGAAGTTGCTCTCGGAGTTGGACCAACCGAGTACAGAGATGCCAAGAACAGGAAATGGACCAATGTCTGTGTGAGTGAGCTGATTTACTCGGAAAGGCAGTTCTATTCCTCATTTGCATTAAATTCAAACCGTCTGCTCAACTCAATAGTAAGACACTCCCCCTCTATCACTTTCTGTCCCTTTCCCTGAAAGGTTTCCAGGTTGTGAGCAGAGCTCTACTTTCTTAAAAAAAATTAGAATAGGTAATACATACACAGGGTTCAGACCCCACAGTGATTTCCAGAGATGCTGGGTGGTCAGTCTTGCCCCCGACGCAGCCCTCACGCATGTCACTCTCCCTGCCCCCACCCGCAGATCACAATGGTTATTAGTTTCTTAGGTATCTTTCCTGTGTGTTTCTTTATGCAAATACAATCGTGTATTTCTTGCATTATTCCTTTTCTCCCGGAGATCCCATACTACACACTCCTTCTCCTCCTTTTTTCACTTGACGGTGTATCCTGAGAAAACCGGAACCCAGTGATCATAAACTGGTGCCTGTGCTACTGGACTTCAGTGTCTGATTTCTCCTCATTTTTAACATGGGTTAAATTTTCTTACATTTCAAAACTGGCCTCACTTTCATTTTTTTTCTTCCTTTAAGGTGTGGGAGGTGCTGAACCTTTTCTGGCCACCCCAACATATATACTGAAAATACTGAAACTGCTTTGAGAATTTGGAATTTCTGATACCTCCAGTGGGCTGAGAGACGTGCTGGGTAAAGAACCAGAGGCGGCAGTGGTGACGAAGACGGGAACACAAGGAGGCGGCCGTGGCTGCGCTCGCGGGTGCTGTTTTGTCCCCACACACGGGCAGCTGCTGGGGGGCACGGCGGGGCCTGCCATGTGGCCCCAGACCCCTCGGTGCTTGGCTGTGGCCACTGCTGTTTGGGCTGTGTGAAGGAAACCGGGAACAGAGCACGACCCTTTCTCAGAGTGGCTCACTCAAACCCTTGGGACACACCCTGGACACCCACGCCGGGGAGCGGGGCCGTAGACCAGCCCCAGAGCCGAAAGCACCAGAGAAAATCAAATGCTTCCTACTCAGCGCCAACTAACCATTCTAGTGTGCTCTGGCCCCCGCCTCCGTGGCACCCGCACTGTCATCACCACTGCTTTCTCTCCCAAAAGAGATTACATATTCTTAGTTTTATTATTTTCTTTTGACTGAAATGACACTATATAAATTTTCATCTGAGAGTTTCTCAATTGTATCTAGTTACATAGCACAGTTTAGAAACTTGTCTGAGACTGACTCTATCAGTAATCCAATCAGCAAAGATCATATCCGTGTGTATGTGGTTACACGTTTTGACTTTATTGGACTAACCCGGGACTGTTTCAGTGATGCAAACTGTGTGCCCTCCGGTTTAGCCGAAACAGTCCTGGACTTCTCAGAGTCCTTGATGAAGTCTCCCACGGTTGTATAAATTGGACAGTTTAGGAATTTTAAACTTTAATGATCATTTGGTTCCTTTTCTATTTTATTTTTGTTAATGCAACAGGACTTAAACAAATGAACTTTGATCTTTGTTTTAAAGATTATTAAAAAAAAATTGTACATACATACGGCTCTTGAGGACACGTAGCTTTCACTACACTACAGGATATGGTCTCCACGTAGTACATATAAACCCGCAGATGGATTTCCTTGAGTGCTTTGTACTGTTGATTACATCTCCATGTAGGGCTGAAAAGAATGACCCATGTTTATCTCAGAAACTGTGTTGCTTTTGATGTTGTGTTACTGGGCACGGAAGCGTGTGCAGTTAAGGTCCTGCATATGGTCCAGATGAAAAGCACCGTAGCCTTGCGAGTTAAGTACCGCTTCAATTCATTGTTTACGCTGGAATTTTTTCTCCCCATGGAATGTAAGTAAAACTTAGTGTTTGTCACCAATAAATGGTAATACTAAATTTTTTTTTGTTAATTTATTCTCAAATGCCACTACTGCTAGGTTGGTCCCCTCCCAACCTGCCTCCTACCCTTTTTTTTAAGAAAGAAAAAAAAAAAACACTTTGTAATGCTTGTGACTTCTGTTTGGGCAAAATTCTGAAGATCTGAAATAACTTTATATCAAACCATTGATCAATAAACAGATACTAATGAATTTTTGGTCCTTCTGAGCAGTAACTAAAGAAGTGAGGGAAGAGGTGAGTGAGGGTGTGGAAGTACAGCGTGGGGGCGCCCGGGCGAGGGGAGGTGCCTCTCCTCTAGACCGGACACTGTTATCGAAAGAATGAGCCCGAAGAGGAGACAGACTTCTAACACTTCGAGTCTCCTCCCTTCCAGCGGGTGCTCTCACACGCAGAGTCGTCAAGGTGAAGCCCTGCGTTCAGGCCTGGCTGAGGAGTGGGCTGGTGGCTGTGTGGCTTGTGTTCTTGAAGGACAGTTCACGTTTATGAACCGGCCTGTGGGCTGGACTGTCAGAATGACAAAGTGGTCAGAAGGTTATGGAAAAGTGCTCGGCAACAGAAGGGAGTTCATCAACATTGCAGGGATAAAAGTGAAAGGAAAAACATTTTCCCTTCCCCAGTTCTGGAGTCAGCCATTTATTCTGGTTCCCTTTAGCAACGAGAGCATCTAAAAACCAGGGTGTGGGGGGGCGGGTGCCTGGCTGGGCTCAGTCCACAGAGCATGTGACACTCGATCCGGGAGTTGTGAGTTTGAGCCCCACGCCAGGCATAAAAGATTACTTAGAAAAGAAAAACCACCAAGGTCTGGGCACTCAGAGCACCCACTGCTATTTTTCTAGGCCTTCTGAGCAGATGGCGAGTAAACAGATGTATAGGCGTGCGTGCGTGCGTGTCCATGTGTACACACATTCGTCTGGTTAGCGTATGTGTATTTGGAAGCCCTGCGTTTATACTGCTACCAGCACCCTGGGGTTCTTCACAGCCCTTCTCTTGTTTTTAGTACCCTCCCCAATACTGAAGATTGTAGGCAATCTCCCGGCCTCGCCAGCCACCTCCTCCCCACTTGACACCTGCCACTTCTGCCCGGCGTTCTCACAGGCCTGTGGGAGGCGAGCTGCCTCTGCCCAGCACGCTGCCTGCCCCCTGCTTTACCGCGTGCCTGTGGGCGACCTCCACGCTGCAAAAGGGCGATGGGAGAGGTGGGTGCAGCCTTTGAAGTAAATCACAACTTCCAGTTGGCTGTTTGGCCCTGAATGCCAGAACTCCAGAGAGGGAAAGTTTCCCCTTGATCTCAAGGATGGTGTATTGGATTTCCAGGTTTCTCGGAAAGGCGGTTTTCAAGGGTGATACATCTTTGGCTGTTTTGGAACGATGTCCTTGAATGTTCGGACTGTAAACTCTCACACCAGTCTGGCCTCTGGGAAGGCCTGCTGCCATCCCCTGCTGCGAGGATTCCCTGCAGTACGCTGTGCCCCCCCCCGGCCCCACCCCCACCCCCACCCCCACCCCGGCCCGGGTCTCAACAGGCTTGAACAGAGCTGCCTGGGAAGGGAATCTGCACCGTGTTTCATGCTGGTATGCTCGCTCAGTTACAAGAACCTTAGAGCCAAAACAAGGTCCTCCACCCTGGGGACAATCCATGCGGTCCTGGGTTCTGCAGTGCAGGCAGAAAAGGAGACAGGAAAGCGCCCGAGGCGGGTCTGAAATAATCAAAGGTGCTTTGGGTCAGCCACGAGAAGACTGTGGGTCTTAGGATTTGTGGAGTGTCGATCCTCAGAGAGAGGCTCTTGTGGTCCTTGGGACAGACAGGCTTGGGTCTCTCGCTCACCCACAGTGTGTGTGTGGACGTTATGTCTTGGCTCTGTAAAATGCCTCTTATCAAAGGGAGTCTTTTTTTTTTTTAAAGATTTTATTTATTAGAGGCGCAGAGAGAGAATGAGCAGGGGAAGGAGCAGAGGCAGCGGGAGAAGCAGACTCTCCAATGAGCAGGGAGCCCGATGTGGGACTCGATCCTGGGACTCCAGGATCATGACCTGAGCCGAAGGCAGACACTTAACTGACTGAGCCACCCAGGTGCCCTCAAAGGGAGATTTTATTTTTTATTTTATTTTTTTTAAAGATTTTATTTATCCATTCATGAGAGACAGAGGGAGAGAGAGAGAGAGAGAGAAGCAGCGGGAGAAGCAGGATCCCAAGGAGCAGGGAGCCCGACGCGGGACTCGATCCCAGGACCCTGGGATCATGACCTGAGCCGAAGGCAGACGCTTAACCATCTGAGCCACCCAGGCGCCCTCAAAGGGAGATTTTAAGGAGTAAAGATTTCCCCAGAGCTGGTTGTTTTGTTGGTTTTGAAAGGCCTTCTTGAGACACAGGAATATGACCTACAGTTCTTAGAAAAAAGTGTCCCTTCTGACACTGGGTTTCCTTCCCCCACTCATCGAGCTGACGTGCGTAGCTTTGCAGGGTGAATGCCTAGTGACAGCCGCCTTGGCCTGGATCCCCAGTCCCCTAAGAGAGGGAGCCGGCTACGGGTGTGGCCTGTGGGAAGGGCATCTACATTCCCAAGAAGCAGCGTGCTGCCACCTGCTGTGAGCTCAGTAGAACGGGACCCTGGGATGCAAACCCCAGGACAGGGATGCACAGCTTTTGTTTGCTTGCATGTAGTTTAACATTGGAAACTTCCATCACTACCATCTCTGGCTTAAGGGTTTAGATGTCTGTATGCCCATAAAAAGACAAATTTACTTGAAATTTCCAAATCCATAAATGGATTTTTTAAGCACTTGAGCATTGCTGGATTGGCAGGACGTTAGCTGGTTTTCCTCAATAGGTTTTCAAAAGAAGTGTGGGTTCTTCTGAGAGGCAATGGCTAACTCAGCTGGGGGCAAGGGGGTTTCGATTCATGAAAGCAGCACAACTGTTTTCTTGGACCTTCTTGTCCCTCTATATACTTGCAGTGCTGTGTTTAATGGATACAGAGAGTGTATATATGGAATATGTGAAACTGTGAAAGCACCTTATTCTAATTAGACTTCTTTGTAATTTAAATGGCATCCATATTTTATCAGCAAAATTATGTACAATTTAGGAAATTTGTACTACTTTGCTTACTAGCCCAAGTTTAATTTTAAGATTTTAGAGTGAGCACACGTGCACACATGCAGGGGCAGAGGGAGAATCTTCAAGCAGACTCCCTGCTGAGCATAGGACCTGATCTCGTGACCCTGAAATCATGACCTGAGCTGAAATCAAGAGTCGGCCACTTAACTGACTGGGCCACCCAAGTGTGCCCCCCCACCCCGCCAGTTTAATTTTTAAAAAATATTTCCTTTGGGGGTGTCTGGCTGGCTCAGTTGGTGGTGCTTGTGGCTCTTGATCTCGGGGTTGAGTTCAAGCCCCCAGGTTGGGTGTAGAGATTAAAAATCTTTCAAATAAAAAAAATTATCTCCTTCATAGTGTTCCCAAAGGTATTCATTAAAACCTTTTTCTTTTTTTTTAAAGATTTATTTGACAGAGACACAGCAAGAGAGGGAACACAAGCAGGGGGAGTGGGAGAGAGAGAAGCAGGCTTCCCGCAGAGCAGGGAGCCCGATGTGGGGCTCAATCCCAGGACCCTGGGATCATGACCTGAACAGAAGGCAGGCGTTTAACGACGGAGCCACCCAGGCGTCCCCATCAAAACCTACTTTGATCCTGCAATGACAATGCAGTCTTTAGTGGGTTTTTGTTTAAAAGTAAATTGAGAGGTGCCTGGGTGTCTCAGTCAGTTAAGTGTCTGCCTTTGGCTCAGGTCATGATCTCAGGATCCTTGGACCAAGTCCCACATAGGTCTCCCTGCTCAGCAGGGATGGGGAAGGAGTCTGATTCTCCCTCTCCTTCTGCCTCCTGCTCACGCTTTGTCTCTAATAAATAAAATCCTAAAAAAAAAAAAAAAACTTGTTAAAAAAGTAAACTGAAAATTTTGAAAGTTACCTCCAGACCCTCCACCTTATTTTTTTTTCCATCCCCTTTCACACATGGGTGTTTTGTTTTTAAGATTTTATGTATTTGTCAGCGCAAACACAAGTGGGGGGGGCGGCGACAGAGGGAGAAGCAGCTCCCCGCCGAGCAAGGAGCCTGATGAGGAACTTGATCCCAGGACCCTGGGATCATGACCTGAGCCGAAGGCGGACAACCCACTGAGCCACCCAGGCGCCCCACCACACAGGCTGCTTTTTCCGATCAGATGTGCAGTGCATGTGTAATGGTGCTGTTACAAAGCTGAGCAGGGCCCAGGAGCAGGCAGGATCAGCTAGGCCAGAACATGCCGCATAGAAGCCCGTGGGCTCCGCTCAGCCTCCGCTCATCACGGATATCCCCACTTAGGCTGTGGCAAGAGCAGCAGTGAGTCTCCCTCTGACCTTTGACATTGCTGAGCGTGGACAGATTAGTGAGCAGGTGGTCCCGTTCTGGAATGAGGACCTATCCCAAGCCTGTCATTATTCAGACTGTATTCTTCTGTGGTATCTGCCTTTTTTAATCACGTATTTCCTCTGGCTGCCAAAAAGACCTCCCTAAGGAACGGCCAGAGAGTTTCCTTGGTCCTTTTGTTGTTCTGTGCCAATATCTGCTGCAGATCTGCGGCCGCAGTGTCCTGTAAGCTGAGCCTGTGCTCCCGGTTTGGGAGGTCATGCCTGAAACTTCTCTGGGCCCTAATAGGACCCTCTTGTCTGGCTGGCTCCTTGGACTCAAGGTCAAGAGCAGTGTAAACGTGGTTGGAGGGTGATAAGGAAACCAGAACGGTGCAGACCTCCCCTAGCCTAGGGAAGGGGGACATGCTGGTTTTTGGCTGAGTTTGGGGAGTTAGGGTCTAGAGGGTTTGTTGGCAACAGTCTGTTCCCTGAAAGCCCCAACTCTTTCTGAGATGGTGTGCCAACCTTTGTCATTGCTCGCCTTGGCCAGGTAACGCCTGCCTGAGGGAGCAGTATGGTAGAGGGTAGACACCCATGTGGACGAGGCTT